AATACAAATGTAAATAACACTGTCATTTGCGCCCGTTTAAGCACTGTGGACTTAGGACACCCCTATACGGATGCCTAGACAAATATATTAACATTTTCTCGTGCCCCTGACGATAAAATTAGTATCCAACAATAAAACTGGCTATCTCCAGTCCTTAACCCTAACGAGGTCGTCGTTTTATGACTGGCAAGTTCTCGGAGCTATGATAAATTTAATATTGACCTAATAGGCCTTAAAGTTGCAATATAGTAACACATTGTCATAATCTAGAAGCATTGAATCTAGATTGTTTTAATATTAGTTTTGCATTAGGCTTTAGATTTCTAATAAACCATGTCATTGTCTTTCGGGAGAGAATTCTTCGAGCAATCGAGGAGTTAACATCTCCTGATGATGCCGTCCACACGTGATGGCGAAACATCGAGAACCTATTCTCGCTCACATCGGCCGAACAGCCCGAAAGACAATGATATGCTGAACGATGGCCTTGAAAGCCTTACACAATTTATTTTCTAATAAAGCAGTTCTTATTTTATTTTCAATTGCGACTCGACGTTTCGGATGCTTTGGAGCAGGTCAAGGGGGATTGAAGATGAAGGACAGAGTCAACGTAATGTCCGCTATGCTAGCGCCTTCTGAGCGTCTAAATGACGGATAATAGAAGAATAAGTTCAGCAATCTAAATCGATATTGAATGTTATAAATTAAAAAAGAAAAATAATTCGCGTTTTAAACCGTCAAGAGTGTTTTATTTAAATTTACACTACTCGCGTATATTACAGACAATGATATAGATGTAGACTTCAAGTCAGTCTAAACAGTCATCGAATTCAATTAAAACCGTATCGTCATGGCTTCGAGTCCCATCTTTTTAAGACGCTACCGATATAAGCCCAAATACCGGGCTGTATTATGGGAGGAGAATATGTATTCTTGAATCAAAAACTCGTCTTGAAATGTCATTATGAATCATTCCTAAATTTCCCCCTACTGACTTTTAGACGCATCAAGCAAATAAAGTGTTAATCGGCCAATAAAACTGCGGGGCATTATTACAATGTCAATTCCAATATAGAAGTCTAGGTGATCTAATTGATGAAATCTAATAGGTCTTCAATATAAATTATAGCCATGAATATTAAATTAAATATTGATTCTCAAATTTCCTTTTAGAATTGTGAGAATATGCTTATATCTGATCTTATGTTTTATGTAATAAAATTGCATTGAAATGAAATTAAAAACGAATGAGAATAGACAATAGAAGCTGAATAAAACACGGTTTAAAACGCGATATATATATTAGTTAAAGTTATTTTAACTACAACCCAACGTTTTGGATGCTTTGCAGCAGCCGTGGTCACGGGCGGACTAAACATGAGGGTGTCTCTGACGTCAAAATAAAAATCTACACTAGCGCCATTTGTTTCGGCGAAGGTAAAATTTGGTATTTCAAATAGGATTAACCTAATATCACGTTTTGAACCGTTTAAGTATTTCATTTAAATGTGTACCACTCGCGTAACACATTAATGTAACACTTCAGACTGTATTTCAATAATTTCAGTAAGGAAAAATAAAATCACGATGAAAATATTCATAGTATTAAAAATAAATTTAAAAATATTTCATTTAAATATAGAAAATGTTTTAAATTATCAAACGTAAAACAAATACCTAGGTTGTAATAATTAATGACTAAAATGTCAGAAGAGCTTTTAAAATTTTAAATAATATCCTATGAAAAATATAAAAGATATATCAACAATGATTTATTTAGGATTTTTAAAAATATTCAGTAGACGAGATATTTGCTATGTCTGCTTTTTTATTCCTTAATAAATATTCAACAATAAAAAAGGATTCCCACAGTTTGTTAAACGAAGAGGTGAATTAGAATAACTTTATGAATATTATTCGTGGTAATTAGTATGAAGTTTGCAAATGATTTACTAAATTGATAGGTACTTGAATATTCTATTGGTGAACCCATAGGGTTGCAGGATGTCTTCTAACATGTTTTTTTTATGATATAGGAGGACAGGTTAAGCCTAAGGTTCAGTTAATGGTGAAATACCCCCGCCATATATCATCTCAACAAGATACGCCGGCCTATTTTTGGCTTCGGATGTTCGGAAATCCCCGTATTGAAACGGAAACATTGGCACAAATTCACGGCTTTTTTCATCTGTGGACGGTAGTTCGGGACCCGGACGGAACTTCGATTTCTACCAACATTAAATATCCAGAATTCCAGATGAAGTCCAACATGACATCGAACCCACGGCCCGATTGATTGTTACGGTTACACCTTACGGAGTTCGCAAGGTAATAGAACTTATTATAATATTTGGTCCATCATTCATTCTTTTATATTATCTTCTGTTATATTGTCAGCTCCCTTGTGTGTATGCCTTGAATAATTACTTTGAAACTAGCATCTTCATATCGGAACATATCTAGCTGAACTCAAATTGTATAAGGCTTTCGCGGTCAGTTGTCGTTTAGTCGAGGAACGCACAACAATGACGTCATCAACTTGATAGAGAAATGTCGAGAAGCATTTATCAGTTACGACGGATGGACAGCTTGAAAATCCAGCTTATAATTTTTTAATTCGTAAACTTTAAAACATTCAAGCACTTATTAAAATATATACACTTATTAGTTATATCACTGTAAACATATTTTTATTATCAACTGGAAATTTACTTAACATTTAAAGGAAATGTAGTGTCAAGGAAGCCCGAGGCATTAATATGTAATCAAATTTATAATTTAGGAGGCGTAAACACTGCCATAAAAATCATGGCTTAAAATTGATTGATTTAGGAAGTTAGAACTTTATAAAAAAAAATACGAACATATTAAATTTATCTTGTAATTCGAACAACTTTCGTATAGAAACAGACGTAGCTACATAAAAGCTCTGTGCTAATTTTACTGTGTTAAGTTAACTTAACTTAAGTTAACTTATTCTAATAGGCGCGTTTTGAAAATATTACGCAGTATTTTAATTTCCATGGAATAAATAATATATTTAAAAGGAAAGCATGACAAAGTAATTTATGGTCTGCTAACTCATTTAGGTAATATAGTAAATTACGACTTAGGAATGAAACACAAATACTTTTAATAATGTTTAAAAAATACATACTATTATAGTTTACAAAACATATAGACAATTGATATTGTTGATTTTAAGTATAATAGTTTATTGGACGGGTAAACATCAAATAATTTTTAACTGAATTTAAAATCTTTTTATATTAAATCATAATTACGACACGGGACTTAAACCGGCAGTCGCAGCGTTCCGTGTTGTTGCTCTAACCAATTTAGCGTCCGAGTCCTACATAAGTCCGACATAAGTTAGAATAAATTAACAAATATATTTCGCGTTTGACACAGGTAGAAGTGTTTCATTTGATTAGGATATTTTTAGGAGTTAAAAAAGGAATAGGGGAATGATTTTATATCCTCCAATTTTTTTAAATTACTGAGTAAATATCACATTTAGCTAATAATTAATAACCTTCAATTTAACGATCATTCGTTACGCAATAATATGTATGTAAGCTTTACAATTAGGCATCTAAAAATATTTCATGTGACGGTAAATTAAGTTTTATAGACGCTGTCGTTAAACCCTATATTTTATAGATGGCATATAAGAAATATATATAAAAATAGCAACCAAGAATTGGGATATTTGAACTTCCACCAAGTAAACATCAGGCTTAACTTTCCGCCTCTGTCATACAAAATAATAATAATTGTGTCTGTATCAGAAGGAAATGTAATACTTTGGGAAGTGTAATAGAACCGATATCACGTACAAAAAAGTTTTCGAACATGTGTTATTTCATCGTCCGCTACTTAATCCTCTTCAGTTACTGAACCTTCGACCTTATTTAGCCTTAACTAAGGTTTAAAGTTATTTATATTGACTGACTTAGAAAAATAACCGCATTAGCGGAGATGTATTTATCTTTGAAATGCAAGATTGTAATTAACAATAATATTGGAGCAAAAATAAAAAAGAATGATAATTATCATTCTTCTTCTTCTTCTTTGAACGAACCTACAATCCCCACTACCTGCAAGATGTTATAATCATTTTATATTTTTTCTGAACTATGTTGGACGTGGTGAAAATCTGGGTATTGGTAAGAAAACTATCTTAATTTCGTCTAGGTCACGAACTACCGTCAACAGAAGAAAAAGACGAGAAATTAATTCGCGGTTTGGTTTCCAATTATTTTAAGTTAAAAATATGTCGATATCGCATCTTAATTACATAAACGTAAGGTAAGTATTTGAATTTAATCAAATCATCGTTAAAATATTATCATCACAAATTCAGTGGCGCTACTCAGTTAAAGCCTTCTAATCTTCATTTAAACAGTGTAATGTATTTGATTTTCTATCAATCGGTAAAAATGTAGATGTATATTGTAAGGCATTCATATTAAAATTTAAAAAGGGTAGAATGTAACACAATGCGGGTATCACCACTACTAAGCGCCACTACTAAAACATAAAATTACTCAAGAATTCTTTACTCATACATATCAATATCGCGAAATATCGAGCATCCACAATCCGTTATGTAAGCTATAAATGCGAGTACAGACGCCTCGAAAACAGTATGACCGTTCAACTCGAGCGCACACCACGAAGTAATATAATGTCCATTCACGAAACGCTAACTAGATCATCCGCGACCACGACCAGCATTCATCTCAGAAACACCCCACTACGGAGGATTTCGATCACCTAGTGACAAATTTTTTGAGACCATTCAAACGTCGAGACAGAGAGCGAACATTCGCTCAACTTTGGGAAATCCGCGTCTCTGTTTACGATATAAATGTAATCACTTAAGCCTAAAGTAATTTGTTTATGTGTTCTGTATTTACGGAGGTTTAAGGCAGTTATAAAAGAGCAGTTGGATGTATCTCGTTGTCAATCGCTTGGGCGTTTCGGATTGAGTTAATATGAGTGATTCCGGGCGATCGGGGAGTTGTGAAAGTGAGAAAAAGTACGAGCTGGTGCCGCCCGAGGGTGGTTGGGGGTATGCGATCTGCGTTGGTCTCTCTGTGATATTTGTAAGTATTTAATATCATTTCTTACTTAATACATTTGCGAATTTATACGAAAATTTCTAAACCATGAAAACAAATGAAGTTCGGTTTCAGTCTGCGGATTTTCGTATATGCAAAGCCAAAAAATCGACAGCACATCTTAGTAAGATGTTATATGGCTGGGGAATTCACCTACCATAAAGTCCTACTCAGTCATGAAAAATAAATGAAAATACAATTTATTCAAAATCACAAATTCTATTCACAATCTATAATAGAACCGATTGCCCACATTATTAATTCAATATTAGTTACAAAGAATATTAAATTACCCATGAAAAATTGTACTTAAGTATTCAATGGTAAATAAAGACCAAAAATTTTCACAAAATCGTAGTTTATTGAATACGTTATATAACTTTATACATCGTAAATTAAATATTGAATTTTAACAGAATAAAAATTTTTATAAATAAGGTGTTATAGTAGTCTGGCTTGAAATTAAATAACGCTTATAAATCGTTATTGAACAAAAATAATTATTTTAACGTTGTTGAATGAATTTCATTCTGATCCTAATTAAAAATGATTAATGTTGATATAACACGGCACAATAAAATGACATGCAAAAGCTGTCGTTTGAATACACTTAAAAATTAAAATAAATGTTTTATTTAAAAACCAATGCGTGTTGTGGACGCTTTTAGACACTCCGATTGCAAAGTGACATTTTGTGTGTATTCAAATTTTTATTAGTAGTATTAATAATAATTAATAATTTAATTATAATTAAAAAAAACTAGAATCCTTATTTTTTTTTATCTTATATTTTAATTTTTTTATATTTTTATTTATATATTATTTTATATTTTTATTTTTATATAATTTTATATTATTTTATTTTTTTTTTTTTATTTATTATAACTTTTTTTTTTTATTTTAAATTTTCTAAATTTTTTTTTTTTTTTATCCTTGGCCCTTTTCTGTAAAACAAACATTTCCTTTCATAAACATCAAACCGCAGAAATAAAGGTTAAGAAATGTAAATCTATATATTTTACTAGCTGTGTCGGCGACTTCGAATGCGTAGAATAGTTATTGTGGGCATCCAAATTCGTTTTTGTAAACGCCTTCATCTTTATAAACTAGACTATGTTTTTAAGTTGTGACCCACGACGTCGGGCGCGTCCCTTGCCGTCGTTCTTGCGAGTTAATCTTAAAAGATAGACATATTGTATCGCTAATATTAGTTTATATCATTTAAAGTGCACCTATCATAAAGGATTCATACTTTATACATATTTTTCCATCCATCGATACATATTTTTGGGTATCTTGAACCGTTTTCGCAGTGTACGTATCAGAAACCCAAAGACAGGAAAATTGTCCCCCGTCTTGTTCACATTTCCCGCTGCTTCTTCGCTCCTATTAGTCACAGTGCAGTTTTTTATAGCTTATAGCCTTGCTCGATAAATGTTTTAACTAATACAAAAATAATTTTTCAACTCCAACCCGTGGTTCCTGAGATTACCGCGCTCAAACAAACAAACAAACTTTTCATCTTTATATATTAGTATAGATAGAAACCGTGGACATTGGCTGTACATAATAGATATTTTTAATAATATATGCTATTTAGCTTTTTTGTCTTAAATCATTTACTTGTTAATTAGTAATTTTTAAATACATTACAAAAGTTTCTATTGCTAATGGAATTATTGGTTTATACATGTTAAATATTGAAATCGTGCTTGCAAAAATGCGCACGCACATTTTATTTGTTAACAGCAACGCATGATCTATTTATTGCTTATACACAAATTTTCTGTAGAATATCAGGTCATGATACGTTGCCTAACGTGCCTTGTAAAATAAATTAAGAGTGTACACGGTTTGAATAAAATTCTTTGTTATTCAAACATTTTTTTAGAAGTGATATATTGTATAGTGAGTAGTTTACGCAATTGATACACAAAATATTTTGGATAGGAAATAATACTGGCTTTGAACATAAAACAAAACTATTATTGTATGAAATATCATCACGGACATCGAATATGTCCAAAAAATTCGTGATGTGTTTTAGAATATTATTATCTTTCTCGTTGCTAATATAAATTGGTTAAATTTAGATCTACGCAGGTGCAACCTAGTTCTATAGAAAAATTTGCTGAATTACATTTCTTGATTAGGTACTGTGCATAACTTAATTAATATTTTTATAATCTAACGAAGTTCATGGTCGTGTTAGGATAAGATAGTTTGTTTTATGCATTGAGATAAAATTAATGCAAATTGCAATCCAATATTATACAAATTTTATGTTTATTATTAGATCAAGGTTTTTGTTAGATTTCCAAAAGTTTTTTGCTTCGTCTATTTGAGCTCACACACATTATAAAGGTGGTTGAATGATTTTTTACACTTAATACAATGAATCAAATGTAAATGATCTTCCCACATTGTGCGTTTTAATTTAATTTAATTGATAATTGACAAGGCTTTGTATACTAAGATGTTAATTGCCTTATTCTTTTAACTACGTGAAATCTGTAACTTGGAACATTCTAGAATAGTTCTATTATATGTAGAAATGTTGGTGTGTTGGAAATTTTCCATAACCTTTATTTTGTTGGTCAATCTTGTTTATATGAATCTAGGTTCCATAATCATGCATAATCATTCGAGTCTACTAACTTCAATATCCTTGTCAAATCGATCAACGTTTTGAGTAATTGGTAACCCTAGATGTTTATGTAAACACTTCGTAAACATAAAGTTATACATATGCATGAATATTAAATGACGGTCTTTAATTTAAAGAGATTTATAAATAATTCGTGTATATTTCTAATTACAACTGATATTATAAATACAATTATATAACCGCCGCCATAGTAGGCATTACGTTATTTGTTTTTAAGAGTACGTAATTAATGATTATATAAGAAAGTGTTGTGTTGGAAAATCTTTGCTTCATATCTGATCCTTAACTATATTTGGCTTGACTATACAAGAAAATCATGAATATAAATTTATATCTAAGCAACAACCACACACACACCTTCCTCTCTCATACACCAAACAAATTAAATTATAAAATGGATCAAAATTAAACTTGCTTTATTTCATTAAATAATTAATTTCTTATATCGCTGTCAGTAATGATACATGCTAAGTTTATGTTGCGTGGAAATAAGGTTTTAAGTCAAGTGGTTAATTAGGGTAATTATTGATAATTAATACCGGATCGATTGAACAAATGATTACTAAAACTTCAATATTGATTGTGAATTATTTCAATATGGACGTCATGACTCATGCAGCATTTTAACAACCTTCAGAAAAGAAAAATTAGAACAACCACCTATATACTGTATATTACGCAAGTTAACAATTGAATAAAACACTTTTAACGGTTTAAAACGCGAAATATATTAGTTAAACTTATTTACAAATTATTTTAACTACGGCCAGACGTTTCGGATGCTTTGCGTCACCTTAATCTTTGGTCCTTTTAAAGCATAAGTGTCATATTTAAACTACCTTCACCAACGCAGTTCTTTGTTTTTTTAATTAAGTTGCATTGATATAAGTTATCTTTACTTGTTACTTTTTTTTACATTACTAATTAAATTACTTATTCTTTACTTTTTGACTGTTACCATGCTTTGCGAAAATCTTATATAACTAGAGTGATCATACAAACGCAATTTCTTTAGTCTGTTTTGCTCGATATCATTAAATGGTAACTAGACTAAAGAGAATACCTACTGTCTATTGTTTACGCGAGTAGTACACACTTAAATAAAACACTTTAACGGTTTAAAATGCGATATATTATCGCGTTTTAAAATATGAAAACGATTTTTAACTTTGGTCCGAAGTTAAAAATCATTTTCGTCAAAATGTACTTTATAAGTGTTATGCTGTAGGTGTTTTTTTATTTAAGTGTAGATATATAGATAGATATAGAACAATGAATTATAGGTTGTAGGTGTAAGTTTTTGCGCTTTTTCTTCTTAATAATCGATCAAATAAGATCTTATTTCGGCTTGGTAAAATATTGAATTTGAATTCATACACCAAGTGCTAGATATTAATGATTTCTTTATTTTATCTACCTTAGCAAGTAGTACCATGAAGCCTCGTTTTTACTTACGTTACATCAATTTTTCATATGACGTCATTAAATAGGTATATATTTTTTTTAATAATGCGAAATATTTAAACAAAATTAAAATGTTTACATATCATTAAATGTCTAAATTCACTAACTAAATGCAAAAAACAAAGTCTAGTATAGGTCTAAGTAATTTGAATACGATTTCTGGTTTTTCTGGAAAACCATTAAATTATGTAAATATAGCGTTAAAATTATGTCTTCCTTTCTTAACAAAGTTTTCGAATGTTATATTCGTAAATTTCTAGCTTTATTTATTTTAAAATCGTAAACCGTTGCATGTATACGTAAGTTCTCATTTCGTTTACCTAGGGCCTTTGGGTAGATACATTTATTTTATTCATTTATTACATTTTTATTATAAGACACACACCACAAAACAGACAAAAATATAAAAAAAAAACTTACGCATTAACTTATAAATAAAAGACGGCCTTTTCGCTAAGCGACTCCAGCAAGGCATATTAATTATTACAAACATAATCTTATAAAATTAATTTTTATCAAAAACCAAATCTACTGCTAAGAATAAGCAATGCTTAATAATTCTTAATTAACATCTTATTATGTTATATATGATGGCATTACATATAAAAAAAAATCTATCTAGATTAAAAAAAAAAATGACACACCCACACACAGTGCATACACCAACCGGCATCCAAAACGGGCGCTCGTGTTGTTAATTTTTTTCAATGCAAAGAGATTTTAAATTTATATTTTCCTTTGATTATTTATAGGCATAAAAAAATATTTATAGACATTTAAACGTGTTCTCTATTATCTGCCGTTTCTTGTTTCAGATAGCCGGCACAGCTCATCAGCCGGTTTTTGGATTCATATACAATGATTTTTTGGATGATTTGGGCGTCGGTACTGGCGCAGTCACTGTTGTATTTGGAGTTTTCCAAGTCACATTGGCAATTGCCGGTAAGATAAATTATAATATTTTACACATGTTAATGCACGTGAAGGCACTATATAATTAAAAAATCGAAAACAAATTAAAAAAATGTTTGACTCAGGCTGGACTTGAACCGGCATCGTCAGCGTTCCGTGTGCAAGAGCAACAACAGCACGGCTCAAGTCCTGCCCGAGTCGAACATTTTTTAAATTTATTTTCGATTTTTAAAAGATAAATTATATTTATTTTATTGAAAGCTGTGCCTGCGATTTTTTTTTAGAAGAGTCATTTGATGCTCATGTTTACTTTTGACATGTTCAAAAATAGACAAACAATAAAAAGCTTTTTATTTCGGTGACGAAATAAAAATGAAATTATTTCATTTAAATAAAACGCGATATTTATTGGAGACACTTAATTGATTTTTTTTAACTACGGCCAGACGTTTCGGATGAAGACGCGGAAATTTCAATAGGGACGGCTTATTAATGCATAGCGCGTTTTAAACCGTTAAGGTGTTTTATTTAAATCTGTACTCGCAAAACTACGCATAAACTTGTACTTGCGTGTATTTCAAATAAAACAATGGTTTTATTGCGTCTTGGCCTACTCTTATACGACACTGTAATCAGACCTATACAATACTTTTGGAAACTAACAGATACATACTAAATAACAATTATTTTTGGATATTTATTTTATCTAAATATCTGATCTCATTAAACGTAACTATAATTCTTTTGATATTACTTGTCTTGGAAATGTTAATTATATTTTTTAACGACAGAAGACCAAGCAAATAACATGAAGATAAGGCGGGTCTTAAATCGTAAGAATGTTAACTATACAATATGGAATCTGTTGTCTGTGGTGGGTATGAGGAAATACCACATTATAAAAGATTTTGAGGCTCGTAACGAAATATAGTCTGTGGTCAGTTCTACTGTAATGTTTACGTCATTATTGAAGAGACAAATTGTTATGGACAGCATGATTAACTAGATATAGGCCTATAAGTAGACAAAATTTTGGTAGTAAAGAATGCGCATGATAGTGACAAGTACAGCTGTAAATATTGTCTGTAATTTATGCGAGTAGACGAAAGTCATTAAACACTATACGAAAGTTTAAAGCGTAGAAGTATTTTTTTAATAAGTAAACCTATTAAAAATTAGAAGGCCCACATCATTATTTTTGGGCCAATATTCAAAATAATAAAATAATTAAAATACAAATTATATATATTTTTAAAAATAAATATATGTTACAATGTAATTTTGAAACGGTAAGTGACAAAAATCGTTCGTTTTGTAGTCATATAGGTCTTGTTAAATATGTGTAATATTAAGTACTGTGTGTAGTTTGCACCCTCACCTGTTGCATAGCATCCGAAACGTTGGGTCGTAGTTGTTATTCAGTTTTAAACCGTTAATAGTATTTTATCTAAATCTGCAACAATTATGTGAAATTTCACCATATACACCTAAATCAGTTTTAGGTATGCCATTGTATGTCATTTGAAATCATTATTACATAAAAAGGCAGAGTTCTCAATCCGCATGGATCTATAGATTTGGATTTCAATGTAATAAAAATTGGATTAGCACATTTGAAACGTAATAATAATGCGAGAATACGAAACACAAGACATTTTTGAATATGTTTTAATAATATACACTTTTTTGCTATAGTTTAGCAGGAATTTTAATGTCCATCGCATAATATTAATATGATTAATATAAATAATAATGCTTAATGTTTTCTCTATTCAGGTTTAATCCGCCATTTTACATAAATCTACCAATATTTGCTTATATTATAAATACGGATTACATTTTAATATATAAACATAATGTATCCATCGATACAAATAAATGTTATGGGAGTTATTTCTGTTATATTAAATTAACAACTCATTATTTTGTTTTCTTTTTCTATATTATCTATAACTAATATTATAAAGAGGAAAAATGTGTATTTTTGTATGTAATGGATAAATTCAAAAAGTACTGGACCGATTTGAATAATTATTTTTTCATTAGAAAGCTACATTATCATTGAGTAACATAGGCATATTTAGTACTTGATTACTATAGACATCTATATAAATTCTTACTAAAACCAACGGATGGCGTAAAAAAGTTAGTATAATAACTACTTTTTTACATTTAACAAATTGATAGAAAGGCCGATCAAAATCAGACCGTGTTATCCATACCATTTATAAATGTTTATCCAAATAAATAATTTAATATTCAAGACTGTCTCTATATCTGATTATTACTTTCTTAGTTATTGAAATCGGACATTCCATTCAAAAGATATCATAAATAAAATAAAAATAGATGCCGGCGGCCGCCACGCCGCGCATGGAGTAACTAATTCGACTATAGAGGGGCAGTGCGGTCAGTTCCTTACGCAGTGGGCGCGAACGACATTTAATATTTCGAGTTTTTTTTAACATTTTTATGCTTCACTTAAAAAGTTATTTTCATTAGCTACTTAGTTTTAGTATTAGGAATCACAGTTTGCATAATGTTTGTCAAAGTTCTTTTCATAACTATCGCTTTGAAATCGCAATATTTTCTTTTGTATTATTATTAGTATATTCTTAATTTCTCAGATTTTAAAATAAATATCCTTCATAACAATATGTATAGAAGTAGAAGATCGCAGCTGTCTAATAATAGTTTCCAAGCGAGATTAGCAAAAGTTCGTCGTATTGGAGAGTTCTTCCTAAAATGATCGAAAGCATTAGACTGTACCCAATCGCGAGCCAGAGATTCTATCGTCGAACATTCAGGTTCGTCTTGCGGAACAAAATGCAAGATCGTCGCAGCGACTTGAAGGAAATAGAGCTAGGAATTCGCGGACGCGTGCACGGGACTCTAACACTGAACGCTCGCAGCGGCTCCTGACACAGCGAGATAGACAACGGTCGTTAACAGCTAGGACGCGTAATACATTTTTTTTCTAATTTAGTGATTCATGGTCGTTTTAATTGGCATGACGTATAATTTAAATATTGGTACTTATTTATGTCTTCCCGTGCGAAGCCGGGACAGGGCCTCTAGTATTGTATATAATTAGTAATTCCTAAGCATGGCTATGCTGTGTAGAGGCGAAACATGTATCTCTTGCTTTATGTATAAGTCACAAAATCAAAATAAATATTGAGATTGAGTTGATGATTATCATTGTAGATCGTGTTGAAATCTCAGCGAAGGTATACATTTGAGGGGTTTTTAATATAGCATTTGATTACTTTTGTTGCAGGTTTCTCAGCGAACATCGCACTGAAGAAACTCTCACTCCGACAAGTTGGACTGATTGGTGCATTTATATACACATTAGCTTCATTTTTTGCCATATTCGTTGTATCCACGACACAATTAATTTTAACAAATGGGTTCCTACAAGGACTCGGTATGGGCCTCCTTATACCAGTAGCCTATACTAGTTTCAACAGCTACTTTACAAGGAAAAAAGTGCTCTATTTAAGTCTGTGTAAGGCGTCTATTGGAATGATAACAATGGTTTATCCTTTGTTCATGAAGATTACTATAACGGAGTATGGGTTTAGGGGAACGCTAGCCATATTATGTGCCATATCAGCTCACAGCATATTTGGGGCTTTGGTGATGCATCCTGTACGGTGGCATATGGTGAAACAGGCGAAGTCATGCGAGAAAATTGTATGTAAGTACGAGCTTTGAGAATCTGAAGTACGTATAGATTTCTTTCGAGAATTAGTAGTTGATATTAACATGGACAAGAACAACGGTACCTATAAGTATTTCATTGAATTTAGTTTGGTATAAATATGACTCCATGAACTCATCAATACCAAAGCGAAATTCGAACCAATGATACTCAGTGTTCCATACCAATGAATACTGATGCATAACTGGTTTATAGTAAGTAGCTAACGGTAAATGATTGTATATTTAGTCAACTGCCTATCACTAATCAAAAATCATTTCATCATCATTTGACAATAGATATTATTGCTATTCTACAAAGATTGGATAAGAATAATATAATTTATGCATCTATAAATAATGAATGCACAGCAAACATTTATCTCTTCCAAAACGTCCTATCAAATATCTGTCATATTTAATTACCTTAACGATCAAATGAATCAACGTTTAATTAAAATTATTTGGGTTTTAGTGATTCCGCCGACACCCGCTGTCGGAAACGAGAAAGGATTCGACTTCACAAAAAATGTTAATGACGCAAAACACGATGCTAAGTCAGTGGAGAATTTATTCGTAAAACACGAGGATGGCCACAAAGGAAGCCTTCTATTCATTCCCAAGCTGAGCTCGAGGCGATTAAGCATACCCGTCGTTTTGATACCAGCTGATGGAAAGTCGGATAGCAAATTCAGTTCCACCGATAATGAATACATAGAGAACTTGTATAAAGCAGCATCTGTGTCCAGTTTGGGGAATTTCGGCAATCTGGTTGAACCGATGCCAATCATAAAGAACAAAGAGGGGAAATGGTGGGTTGTGGTAATTTTACTACCGATAATTGTTCTACAAATGAAAATCGTATATATATAAAAAACGTGACTAAAGACCTCTTTTCCGACTATCTAATTCTTTGGTCAAGTCACCAAGGACTTAGATGACTTATTGCTTCCTCTTTCGATACTCCTGGACGTCCTTGCTCAAGATTTTGGGTTCGAATCCACAAATCGATCGCCATGTTACACCATATTGGTTCTTTTTTGTAGCTACATAGCCAGATGTTAGCGTTTATATCCTTCGAAAACATTTCAGACATACAGAGCTTTTTTTGTTTAAAATGTTTAGACGGTCAATTAACAAGGTGACAATGTGCTATGTATCAAAATGGACCGTTAGAATAATTATGTGTTTGTTACCTTAGACATTGCATAACATTTATGTTGCAAGTTTTATTACACAATATTATTCCTTTTTAAACATTTTCCCATTATTTCCTTTGGGGACATAGGTATACAGAATGTTTTTACTTTTTTAGACTTTACAGGGTGTTAATGACTCTTAACAAAAAAGTTAGGTCAACATTTTGTCCCTTGTTCTAGGCTTAGCCCGAACCCTGCATAATGCCTCCATAAAATAGTTAAAATTATTTTTTATTGTTTTAGGCAAACGGTGGCAGAATTCCTAGACTTAACTCTCCTTAAAGATCTCGTATTTGACAACATTGTTTTCGGAATGGCGCTCGCGTTTTTCGCTGATCTCACATTTTTTACTCTCGAACCGCTGTTTTTGGACAAAAAAGGCTTATCAAAGGTAAGAATTTGTACAGTTGTAATTGAGTGAGTGATTTGTTTTAAGTTAATTTATTGTAATGTTATTCATTATAGATTAGGTTAACGGCTTAACGAGACGACTTTTTATTGATGGTTGCAATCAAGAGATTTTAGTGTTTATTAATTGTTTTGATGTTAGTTTGTATGGCGCATAAATTACTTCAACAAGTAAGGAATTTCTAGGGAATGTCGCCTTATTAATATTATGTATTAATCATTTACTTTTTTATACGAAAAGTTTTAGAATATATATTGCTTTCGTTTTTTTTTAAATATATCTTAAGCATGACCCTGTAGCTCAATTGGTAAGACAGTACCGAACGATAAGTCAACTCGAGGGCTCGACGCCTATCAACGATTATGTTTCATATGAATAGATATTTAATTGAAATTAAGTTTTAACATGTAACTAATGTTTAGAATTTCATAAAGTGAGTTAGATGTGATATCGTCAAAATAGTGTATCCCCAATTTCAAGAAAGTACAAATTAATTGACGAATTGGCAAGATAATTGCCATATGCTTATAAATAGCAAATTACCATAGATATCAAACTATAAGCATAGACGTAACAGGCCTTATTTTATAGTCCGTTTAGATAATAATATCACTGTCTATTTTATTGCTTGTACACGCGATAGCCAATAGAACTTGTTATTTCATAATATTATTTAACTTTGATTGATCTACAGGACAGTATAAAACGTCGAATATATTAAAATATTTGAAAACATAATAATATTGTTAATCATAACGCTTTACATAATGGAAAAGAAACAAGATAAACCTTGGATTCGCCTAATTTAAATTATTGTTTAATCGCTCCCTGGCAAGAGTACCATGGTTCGAAACCCAGAAAAGTACTATTACAGAACGCTGATTAAATAAACTTGCGCATCCATACATTTATCTTAGAAAGTACCAAAGATTTAGCTATAGCTAACCTTATTTAATAAGATCAAAGGCAGCCCTCAAAAGAGGTCCATATATCAGTTCTCTATTAAGGTCATCAACCTAACAAGAGGAAACTATTAATAAAACCTTTATGTCCGTTACATTCGTGATTACGTCCATATTTACTTAACATCATTATTTGTTGTGAAATACTTTGAAATAATAACGCTTAGAACGAAATACTGATCGTTATTTTACTGTGAGGTAATTGGATTATTAAACCGTTATACTTCACTAGCTGTGTCAGTGACTTCGTCCTCAAAACCATGGATAAATTGTTTTCAAACCTTTCATCTTTATAAATTAGCTATTACCCCGAATCGGTTGCGTCCCTTCCTTAGATCTTCAAGTAATCTTAAAAGAAAGACATATAGGCCGCGGACTTTTTTAAATATTTAAAAAATAAATATTCTTTATACATATTTCTTGAGTATCTTGAACCATTTTGCAGCGTACTCCTCGAAACCCATAATATGAATAATTTTTCCAATTTTTTTCACATTTCTCGCTTATTTTTTTAGTGACGGACGATATTTTATAGCCTATAGCCTTCCTTATAAATGCTCTAATTTATATTTATATATTAGTATAGATAGATAAATTCACAAGCCTCAGTGGCACAACCCGGATTTCCATTTAGGGTTACCTTACACTAAGACTGATGTGACGGGAATAGAAAAAGCGTGGTATCGCGTTGCGCATAGATTTTTGATGCCTAAGTTAAATTTGTTTCCTATCTTTATTTTCTTATCATTTTAACTTTCTTTGACTTTTGTGGGTCTTTACGTATTAGGGAGAAAGGGTCAGAAAGGAAAGTGAAAATGTTCAATTTAATACGTAAAATAAATATCTTAATATATCCTATTTTAAATAGGTAAATTACATAACTTGATATAACAAGATACTATTACGAAAGACTCAAATTTTCAGAATATAGGCGTAAAAACCTTTTCCGACTTTTCTTAAACTACGTTTCCTTAAAATTCGTTTAAAATATTTCAAGAGGGAAGCTTTCAATCACAATTTTAAATTAGCAATCGTAATTAAGTCATAACAACATAAATTGTAAAAATATTATTTCGCGTGGGAAGATATTTACCACTGTTAAGCTTAAAGTTATTTGATCTTGAAAATGATGAAAGTACACGCAGTATTTTATTATTTTCAACATGAGTTAAAATGTCGCGCAAGAGAAAGGAATATAAACACAGCTTAATGCCGTTATAACAAGCACTAAGGGAATTTCAACGCTAGATGACACAAGTAAAACACATTTAAGTACAGGACTATAAAGGTAGTTTTTTAGTGTCATATTGAGAAAATTAAATATGACACTGAAAAACTACCTTTATTAATTTTTAGATACGATTTGACTGTTGTATGTCAATCAAAATCTGCAGCGCCATCTGTTTTCGCGTCTCTAATTGAATTGTTGAAATTTTATTAGCAGATACTTTATGACTGATATATTTAGGATGTTTTATTATTGAATAATCCAAGGTATGTGAAAGTTAATATAACTTTGGACAAATACTGTCTATAGTTTACGCGAGTAGCACACATTTAAATAAAACACTTTAACGGTTTAAAACGTGATATATTAGTTAAACTTATTTGGAAATGATTTTTAACTTCGGCTCGACGTTTCTGTCTCCCCGGGACCACGGCTGCTGCAAAGCATCCGAAACGTCGGGCCGAAGTTAAAAATCATTTCCAAATAAGTTTAACTAATATATCGCGTTTTAAACCGTTAAAGTGTTTTATTTAAACTTTGGACAATTCACAAACTACGGTGATATTTATTTTACTCGAGAAATACGATCAAAATTTTGTCGAAAGCTCTTCACTAGTTTTAAGGGTCGGTCGAGCACGTGTTTTATCACGAGGCGAGCGATTCAGATTCTCGACAACCGGTTTCCAGCGCCACTGACTTCATTATAACTGTATAAATTATATTATCTTTCAACTATTACCTATAATGACGTAAACAGTCGCCAGAAATAGCAAACATGATAATATACCTAAATTTAATACATTTTTATATATTCTATCAAGTGATCAATTCTTATGGGAACCGCTTCGTTTCGTAACGCGTAAATTTTAATATATTAAAGATTTCCGTCATCTTATCGAAATGTCTATATAAAAAAATCTGCCTATAGTGTCAAGAGATTTAAGATTATTGTATCATTTGCATATTAAAATGTGTTTTTGCATCAAACAAAATTCTTCCCTTATCGCAGATATATTTCTTGATAATTATTATTCGAATAATTGTATTTTTATACAGGGGAGTTCTGGGCATTTTTATTAAATTTCCAGACTACCATATAATAATATATTATATGGTGTTTAAATTTATCACTTTAACGGTTTAAAACGCGATTTATATAAGTTAAACTTATTTAAAAAAATTTAAATATTTAAAATAAGTTTAACTATTGTATTTTTAAACCGTTAAAATGTTTTATTTAAATGTGTACTACACGCGTTAACAGCGAAAGTAAATAATATAATAAATAAATTAAGTTCTTAATAAAGCTGTTACAGGCTTTAGTTTTAATTTCAGCCGGTGGACAAAGTGCTTAGATTATTCTGGTCGTGGTCGAAAAATTGATAATTTATAAAGCGTCCTTTTTTTTCAAAGAAAGAAACCTGTTTACGAGAGCACTAAATATTGCGTAATACTTTGAATGTTCAATGACTTACGACCGCGTAAAATATAGTAACATATAATATCCACAATGATAACCAGTTATAACTAGATTTAGTATTCATTTAACTGACTCATTAGCACTTTATCGTGTTAATGAAATGTAAAAATGCGAATTAGATCTAGTTGTGTTAATAATAGTTGCAATATTCAAAAGCTATAATGAATACTAAATTCGTCTATACTTGTTTATTATATTGATATTAGAGTTATTAGTCAGACTTGGTGTTATTTCGATAAGATCTATAGAAATATCTTAATTCTAACCTAGTACCATGATATAAACGCGTGTTAACTTATCTTAAAAGAAGTCAAATAATAGAAAGATAAGAATTAATAATATTATAAATCCTTTCTCCACAAAAAATTATACAAGCTAATTGTTCGCCTGTCGTAACTGAGAAATGGTTCTCGACGTTTTGCGCTGTGAAGAGTCGTTTAGACGTAGAAACGCGCAACTTCTACGCGCAACTGATGACGTCATGCACTTGTGACGACGAATCGTTGAAAACCATTTCAAAATTACAACGACTGAACAGCTCAAAAATCTAAAAACTTTGCAAAATTACCGCTAAGCTGTAGGTAATTTTCAAGAAATTAAATTGTTATGATGTTGTGAATATGATTCGCAAAAAATACAGTGAAAGAAAGATAACAGATAGAGATAAGGTTGGAAATATTAAGCAGGCACGAAAAAGGGCAGTGAATAAGAATTACAACAATCATTCCTATTCGGTACAAAAATAAACTGAGCAAAAAATGCGTTTACAAATTTTGCTCCACATTAAAGCGAATTTTAAATTGCTCCAATTTTTCTTTATTCGACATCAAATGGCCAAACCAAGAGCTCTGCGTCCTTGACTGTGTCGAATTGTCAGTCGTAAATCTTGGGTTTCTTTGCGTTGTCTAATATAGGGTGATACGATAGACAATTTTCAATAATTTCAAAGCGATTTTAAAATAAATAAAAAAAACATCACATTTGCAGACTCAAACCACGGTCTGTCTGTTTTGTGCTGCTGTCTACCAATTCGGCTATTGTTACCTACACGTCACCAAACGACATTGCTTACTAACAAAAAAGGAGATACCCTTATTTTTCTTTTTTAACGTTATCTTGATGGAAGGTGAAACTCCAACCATACGTATCCGAAAATCCACGACGGAGCTGCTTTGTTTATTTTGTATATATTTTTTGTTATTATCACTACGTGCGCTTAAATCTTTAAAACTATCCAACGGATGTTTATGAGTTTTTTTTAAATAGATAGAGTGATTTAAACTCTTCTATTTTAAAAAACCTAAGAAAGGAGGAAGATTTTTATACGCAACGTTTACACGTTTCCGTAGTATTTAGTATAAGCATTGCACCCAAGCGAAGTCGGGCGGGTCGCTCGCTAGTTAATAGTAAAAAACAATGACGACAACGATACAACCATTGACGGCTGACAACTCTATGGTCAATCTTATCATTCTATTTGACACAAGTTATAATTATCTATGTCACATAACCATACTTGCTTGACTAAATCGAGTTGACATAATTGATTGCCACAGAGCAACAAAGTGTAATCGAATTATGCAAAATACAGTAGCTTTTCCATTCCACTTCACATCACCCTATTTGAATATTAAGATTAACATTTTCCAAGCACGTGGTAATATTTTGAAATAATTCACATCTTGAACATTAACAATTAAATCTCCCCGTGACCACGGCTGCTGTTAAACATCCGAAACGTAGTTAAAATGATTTTCAAATAAATTTAACTAATATATATCGCGTTTTAAACCGTTAAAGTGTTTTGTTTAAATCAAATAATCAACTTGAATCTACGACCTACTACTACACAAATAACAAATACGCAAATAACACTCGGATTCAAATCCCGGACACCCGATTAACGAGGTATTTAGGCGAAATGAATATTAGATAAAGTCGTTATATTCAACTAAATCAGTAAACTCGAATGAATTATGTAAATGTTAATATTCTGTAATCTAAACAATATTAATAGCCATAGATTATTATAGGTCTCGAATATATTTTTTTTATTGATTCAATGATTTGAATTTAACGTTTTCCAACACTACAGAAAATGTATATGCTTATAAGCACCTCTGTGTCACAGCGGCTGTACATAATAACAATTAGTGAGACGGGCTCAGAAATGATTCATTTCTTGCCTTGTCACAATAATTTGTACTTATATTATTATATAATTGAATTTTATTGACTTAATACTTATTTTATTGCTTAAAAAATATTTTTTTTATATATGTCTTTCTTTTTTATCGATGTGTATAGCGCCACCTATATAACGGCTTTGTAAGTATAGTTTGTAACCTACGCAAGTTTCGCACTAAATAAAACACTTGTGGCGGTTTAAAACGCGAAATATATTAAGAAACTTATTTTTAATTTAACGTTTTTCGTTTTCCAGCAGTAATAAAAATGTAAAATAAGTAAATTACTATAATAGGCCATTTAAACCGTTAAAGTTGTTTCATTTATAGTTCTGCTGCTGAAAATAAGCAGTCCTAAAGTAACGTAACGTAACGTAAAGTGCGATAACAAGATTAATTAAAGTTGAACGAAGATCTTGGGATTGATTTACCAAAGCCTTATTTATTTGCAGGCGGAGATAGCGAACATAATAGCTGTAGGGGGCGCCACCGATATGGTAGCGAGACTCCTGCTCGGTGTTTCTGGTCAGTTCTTCAGGATGAACAGCCGGTATATGTTTTATGCTGGCGCATTGTTCTCAGCTCTATTTAGACTAGGTAAGTTTGGACATCTTTATTATAGAACAAAAAATTGCCCAAAATTATGCTTGCAATAGTATATTCGGCAAAATAACGAATATCGAATATTCAGCGCGCCTCCTGACCGAATAGCCGAATATTCCGAAAAAGTATTTAGTGAGATTTTAACTCCAAAATTTAAACAGATTCGAAGTTTTTAAACCACCCACATGGACGTCTTTCAAATATTATCCAAATAACGTAAAAAGTCTGCAAACTGTGCGAATTAAAAATTTTCATGGTAGTGTCGGAAGAAAGGCAATTACTTCGGATTTTTTTTAATTATTCTATATTTAGATTTATGTTACACAAACATATTTTTTATTACATATACATATGTAATAAAAAAATATTTTATCAATTATCGAGCTCCTACAACAAAACACATTACTTAAGTATACGGTATTCGGCCGGATAGTGTTGACGCCGAATACCGAACAGTTACCGAATATTCGTTGCAAGTCCACCTAAAATGTAAGCCTCCATACATTTATAGTAATAAAATGATTGACTTTGAAAGTACACTTTTTTTACCTAAATTAAAGCTATCTATTTAGATAAGCTGTGTCGTTGTTTTAGTGGTTACACTCTGCAATGTTTTGGGTTCGAGTCCGATAATACGATACAAGCGCTAGTTCCATGACAAAATGAAAAGAAAAGATTAGTTAACCACTATATTACACTGTAGTGGTAATAACTCATCAATTAGTTAAGTTATTATACTCTCATAGACCTAAGCCCAGCTGTGGGATTTTATATGACAGAGGAGGCTAGACAAGTGTGTGGTTCACTTAATGGAAGGTGGAATACACCAGCCATATAACATCTTTACAACATGCCCTGTTGACGTTAAAAATATATAGAGAAATATTACGTTCCTATTAAATAATAAATCTACGACTTTAATGATCATTAAGATCTACGTTAATTTAATATTATGCAATGTTTTCATTCATACAGAAATCCGTTGAACGATTTAGCCTTCAGCGAGGTCAACAAAATAATTGGTAGAAAATTGTTTACTTCAAAGTATTTGAGGTCATATTGTATACAAATATTTAAACCGTTATTATAAATAAGGCATCCTTACCATATTCACTTGGTTTAAAATACTATAAGGGTAATAATTATGTTTCTATTTAGTAAATAATTTCCATTTATTTGAAATTAATATTCTGTCAATGTCAGTTTCCACTTCAAGAAATAAATCGTAAATAAAGATAATTAATAACAGTCAAGTGAATCGAATATATTTCGTTATAATTTCGATTCAATGAGTCAAAAGGTCAAAGGTTTCTATTCCAGTTATTTTTTATCCATAAGATGTAATTTCATTATATTCAGAAAATTTAAATGCTAAATATTAGTTCGGATAGTTTTTAATTTGAAATATTGATATTGTTTTATCGCCCTAGAAAAACGCCAGTTTTATAGTTTACCTCGAAAAAAAATTACTACATAAATTTTTCTACGGTGTTCGGACGGTATCAAAGAATTATAGATAGAGATAATTTGATTACTAACTGGACACGACAATTTCGTGCTTTCAAATTTTGAAACTAGTTTTAACTATTCTGTTGTTCTTAATCTAAAATAATCAAATCACATGTGCGCGAGAGGTGCATGATCAATAGTTGAAAAAATTCGACGATGAGGTGTAGGACTCGGTAGCTCAGTTGGTAGAGCAACAGCACGGAAAGCTGACGATGCCGGTTCAAGTCCTGCCCGAGTCGGCAAAATTTTTTCAATTTATTTTCGATTTTTAAATTAAATCACTATGTTGACAATACTTGTTTTGTTTCAGTCCTAATAAACTTCACAACATACACCCCACTATTAATAGTGACGGGTATTTTGGGTGCACTGAGGTCGTTAGTGCATATAGCTCAGCCAATAGTCATGGCGGAGCATGTTCCTATAGAGAGGTACCCCCCAGCATATGGCCTGTATATGCTCTTGGCTGGAGGGATCAGTTTAAGTGTTGGACCTATGATAGGTAAGTTCACAGATTTAATTAAGAGGAGGACAGACGAGTATGGGGTTTAAATAAAACAATATAACGGTTTAATATTCGAGAAACGCCCCGTGACTAAAGCTCCGAATCCTCGGGCCGTGGTCAAAATAATTTTCGAATAAGTTTATCTAATATTAATCGCGTTTTAAACCGTTGAAGTGTTTTACTTAAATGTGTGCTGCTCGCAATTTATAAAAGTTAGAGTCTAAAGAGGTTTCGCAAGATTAATATAGAGCCTACTTAATCTTAACTATAATAAATTGAATTCGCGTGTCTGTAGATTTGATAATATTAGTACGAGGACGTTCAATGTGAGGAAAATAACATTAAAAGATAAATTACAAAAAATAATTTTGAATTGAAATATTGTTATTTTTTCATGATAGCTTATAAAATAATTTATAATATATTTGATGAAATAAATAGATCTATTATTTGGCATACTACGACATGTGGTATACAGTGGCATGATACGCTGAGTTGTGAGTTTGAGACGCACTAGAGTAATTAATATATTTTGAATATAAAATAAAACAAACAACGGTTTTTTGTGTGGTTTAAGCGCGGAAAGTACAAATTTAGCGTATTATGTTTGTATGTATGCTATAGTGGTCCATTCCCAGACGAAGTCACGGACACAGCTAATAGCTGATATTATTTTCGGGGAAGTTGTTCGCAACTTTATGAACGCTCCGAAGTTTTATACATTCCGTCAAGTTCTTTATTAATATTTGCGAGTTTGAAATAAGCTGATACTCCTAAACACAAATCAAAAGATTCAATTTTAGATTATTACAGAAGAAACAATCTCGAAGTATTTATTTTGTCCATTCAACAACATTTAATCTACTTAGTTCGCAATTGTTAGGGCGTTTAAAAACAGTTTAGACAATAACAGCGTTACAACTGTAAATATTAGCTTAATTAACTTGTGCTGCAATGTGTTAAGCGTAATTCCAGGGTTCGAATCCTGAAATTTATAATAATAAATAATTCGTTCTTCCAAGCACAGAGATTGAACCAGCTAAATTATTCATTTAAAAGGTATTTTGGCTTACACGCATCAATAGCACAAAAACATTCAGAAAGAAGGCTTCTCTAGTCTTAGCTACATTCGACTCTCACGAATCCGAATCAGTAATCGGAACCTAAAACCCCTACTTCATTCACCACAGAATAATAACCTCCGAATTTCGTCATCGATAAATACACAATTTGCAAGTAACTCAATGCCACCTGCAAGGTTTAAATGCTACAAATCCTTATTCGATTATTATCTTGTAGTGTACTCGATAAATTATACTAATCGCGACCGCTGCGACCACAAAACCTCAGTATATCAAATAACGAAAATTTTCCCTTCTAGGTTTCATTCGCGACTACACAGGGAGCTATTGTATAGCATTTGTTATGTTGGCTGTATGCAATCTGTGCTGTGTTGTGCCATGGACAATAGAAGGTGTCATAAGGTACGTCAATAAGAGAAGAAGATAGCCTGCAATCAGGAGGAGATGGAACAAAAACCTTAGCCAAGAAAACTATTAAATGAGGTTCAAATTCCTAGTTGTTATTGTAATTTCAATATTACATGGGGTAGTGATGTATTTGTTATCTACTTAATTTATAGAATATCTAGCACGGTCTTTAACGAGACTACATAACAGTGTTGGGACATTAGTCCCAACGTAGTTGACTGTTTTCGTTTCAAGAGCGTCTTTGCGTCTGTATATTTGTATTTACTTATTCTCAATTTTATATTGTAGTACTAAGTTTAATTGTAAATTGTTGCTTCGCAAATAAGCATATAGTTAAAAAAAATGACAGTCCCTTATTGTTAAAAATCTAAATTATATTTAACAAAACCTACTTGTTTACGAAAAAACTAAGATTTTATAACTCCTTAGACATTAGTATAAAAACATCATCTTAAGTCGTTTATAACGTACTATCGACTTTTCTTGATGGATTTGTGCTAGATAAAGTCCGTATTTTCGACGACAAATTTTGATTATAATCGGAGAAAAACTGTCACTGTTATGTAAAACAATAGATAGTCTTTTTACATTCTTATCAGCTTGCTTTGAAATCGGCGATCCATCTTTTACCTCAATCTACTATACAACGTACCCTATCTTTTTACGACTAAGCATTTATTTTTATATGACTTGTCTAGACCGTCGAATTTAAAGATGAAATCAGTTTTATCACATACTTGTCTATAGTTTACGCGAGTATTACACATTTAAATAAAACACTTTAACTACTATGTTAGTTAAACTTATTTGAAAATGATTTTTAACTTCGGCCCGACGTTTCGGATCCTTTGCAGCAGCCATGGTCTCCCCGTGACCGTAATATATCGCGTTTTAAACCCTTAGAGTGTTTTATTTAAATCAATTTTATTACCTAGTCGATGCATGCGTGCATTTTAGGGAAAATACTTTGATTTTTGAGAGAATTTTTGTATAATATAATATTATTGTAAATGAGATGCCATTTGAAGTTTCGTATATCGTAATTATTAAGAATTAATCAGTTCAAAAAATGGTTGATTTACCAAATTCGGAGGTTTTCATCGCGAATTTTTCATAGGATTCTATTTGAAGCCGGAGGACGTTAAAATTAAATTAACCGCTTCGCGTTTCAATCCGTTAAGTGTTTTTATTTAAATGTATATTATGTAGATGCTGAAGATAGAAGTGGATGACTTTTAAGTTTTACGTACATATCCCAATTTTAGAACACTTAAATGGAAAAATTTCCCGCTTAAAATTATATTGACATAGATTTTTTTTGCATTTAGTTTTATTGCACAGATAACAAATAAAAAATATATGTATCTATAATGTAAGTGTGTTGTAACTATTGATAGGCAAAACTAAACAACTCGGTCACCAATGTGCGATTGCAACTATGTTGTATTCATATTAATTCGTCTCTTATTTACTTAAATATCATTGTTAAATAAAAATTGGGTCGTCGAAGTTATGACGTCACGAAATGGTTTTCGACATTTTGTTATCAATAGAGGAAGTCGAAAACTATTTCACAATTTACAAATCAATCAAACACCCAAATCGCGTTGACAAATGGCCATTACAATTAAAATTATAGTTATGAGCAAATAAATATTTATTTTTTTAATTATAATTGAGAACTATGTAAATTGTTACATAAATGCCTGCGCCTTCAGTAATTTTATACACAAATGTAGTGTACGCGCTGTAGATATACGAACCCGAATCAAAATAGTAAAACGCATTTCCTTGTGAGTGACAGAACACAAAGAATCGAATCCCGGAAGCTATCTTTGCAGGGCGCACACGTCTGTTCAACTTGCCAGTAAATAACATGAGTCCCGGGATATGGACATATACTCGTTTATGTGTCTACCCCACGACGCTATTAAAACGGAAGTACCTATTTTTATTCGTTCATTGCCTTATTTTGTTATATCAATAGTCTGAAAAATGTATGAGTCATTATTGTCTCTATTTGAACATGTTGCTGAAAATAACCTCTCGCTAAGTTAACGACACCTTAACGCTAATAAACACCGTATGTTACGACAAAAAAAAACCATAGAGTATGCAACGCACCTATCGCTACGACTTTTATAATTAAAGAATATAAATGTGAATGATAAAGTGCAAAAGTAAATTTATACGAATATTATAAGGATCTAGAGTTTGTTTGTTTGAACGCGCAAATCTCTGTAACGAATTGTTCGAATTGAAAAGATTATTTTTGTGTTGGTTGGAGCATTTATCGAGGAGGATTTATGTAGGAAAAACGGGGACATTTTTCCTACATAAATTCTCCCCCAAAAAATTCCCAAACCAAACAAAAATTTTTTTTTTTTTTCGTAAACCAAAAAATATGTATGAAAGAATAATTCTTTTATAAGTGACCTAAAAAAATGTTCCTGACAATGCTGTCATTAAAAGACATATTTTGCATGTCTTAAGATTAACTCGCAAGAACGACGCGACGGGACGCGTCGACGCGCGTCGCGTCGTGGGTAACAGCTATAATGTCTTAAGCTGAGCGCAACTAGTTATTTCGTTAATGGATACAATCATTAACAAAAATATCAGTCTCGTTTCTAATTCTAAAAAATGTATATATAAATAAAAGAAGGTTAACACTTACCATTTTCGTTGATAAGGACAAGATTAAGTTTGTTCTTTGTTTTTACCAATTTCTTTACTAATGTATATGTTTTTATTATATAATATTATATTTGTATATTTAGTTATGTATAATTTTTATAATGAGTATTTTCAAAGAGATGTAACAGATGCGGCTCAAACCCGCTTTATCATATTGAGTCTGCTATGTTGTTAGTTACTATCATATAGGTTTTAGATAAATGAAGATAAACACCAATATATGAAGCTAAATTAGTACAACCACGCTGGTGGGCATGGAGTCTTGACTGTGTTTAAACAAAACACTTTTAACAGTTTAAAACGCGAAATATAGTAGTTAATTTATTTACAATTAATTTTAACTACGGCCTGTACGTTTCGAATGCTTTGCAGCAGCCGTGGTCACGGCTAAAGTACTAATACATATCGCGTTTTAAACCGTTAAAATTATTATATTTATATGTTAACTATTCGTGTAAGTTACGGAGAATAACTTGACAGTATCATCGATTTTTCCAGCCAAGTTTATATTACATTTTTCGGTATACTACTTAGATTTTGTTACTACTAAGATATAGTTAAGAGCCCATTTATAAACATAAATATGAATGATAAGTCTCGATTTCACCGTTCGGTGTCCACTGCTGGACATAGGCCTCCCCCATAGACTTCCAGTAAGACCAATCGTTCGCTAGTTGAATTCAGATTGATAAAACTATTGTTATATTGGAATTGTTTAATGGTTTGTTATTTAAATTAATATGATTTTATGTAAGACCAAAATGTCAGTTTTAATTGAGATTGTCTAAGTGTAATTGTATTGAAACAAATACATATCATCGATTAATGCTCATAGTACAATACTTAGTACATAAGAAAGAACGCTTTAAATTGTTTTAATTTTTACTTGAATAAAAGTTAATAAAAATATTCAACTGTACCCAATGTTTTTTTTAAACAAATCTTCCTCCAATGCGCCGGGGTTAAAGATTTTTATTGGATTAAGCACAAGGGGTTCTGGATTTGAACCCTGGGGAAACAAACGGGCAAGATTAATCTGACCAGAACAGAATATGTGGAACGGACACAACGTGACCGTCTCCCTCTTTCACAAAAAGTCTTTAAATAATTTGTTTGACACCGCAGTGTCCGGGGTATCCAAGCCATATTTATTTTTCATTTTAGCACAGTATTTAGGCATTGAAAAAAATTTACATATATTTAGGATTTAAAAAAATGCAAAAATCTTATTGTATTTGTCATTGAACTATAACTTTAAATACCCACATGTAATTATTTAAAATTTAAATGTCCTAGATTAGTCTACAATGACAAGCTACATCGTCGGGCCGATGTTAAAATCATTTTCAAATAAGTTTAACTAATATATCGCGTTTTAAACCGTTAAAGCGTTTTATTTTAATTGTAAGCATACATATATATAAGTAGTAGGAAAATAATCTATATCTTTATAATATATAAACTGAAGATTTTTTTGTTTGAAGCGCTAATTCAAACTACTGGTACGAATTGAAAAAATATTTTTGCAATTTAAAGCTTTTATTGAGAATGGTTTTAGGCTTAAATTATCACTATGGCTATGACGGAGAAATATATTAATAAAGGGGAATTATTTATTTCTGTGGGTTTCCGATGCGTACGCTGTGAAAACGGTCCATGATGCCGAAAAAATATGTACGAAAGAACGATTCATCTTTAAATTCACTTGCAAGACATTTAAGAAGTAAACGACAAAAAATACAAAAGTAATTCAACTATCTTAAGGCATAAATTCTAAGACAATATTATCTGTACCTCAAGGTTTGGTATTTTAAACTAAACTAATTACATATAATAAAGATAGGACATTATTGAAGACAATTTTGGATAAATATTTATAAACAATTATCATTTTTATAAATAACTTTTATACCAGAACCATATAGAAAAACTATGGCAACTAATCTAGGGCAACATTATACTTATTCGTAATAAAAGTTTTTTTTTGTTTAACAAATTCGTGGAAAAGAACTACTAAAATAACAAAGAGAAAGACAAAAGTCAATCACCCAAATTATTGGTAACTTATGTTGAATCACCTGTGTCTAATTAATAAGAGTTTGTATACGTTATAAGGCTCGACTACTCTTGTAAATTCATTAGACAACTCTTGAATATTATCGTTGTAAATTCATTCTAGTGTAAAAGCAGGAAATATTTTTACAGCTTCGTCTAAAAACCTCTAATGTAATCAAAATAAACTTATCTTGACGACAGCTATCTCTTTAAGGGAGAGAGATAGTGTCACAAATGAAAACTCTTTTTATATCCGTCAAGTATTGGGTTGTTCGGAAAGTCATTTTTTTTTTTGGGAACATGAAAGACAGTTTTCGTATAATGAATAAATATTTTATTAAATTATATATTGGCCATTCTGGTCCAACACCTTTTGCCATCTCGTGTGGTTATTCGCCGATTTGCATCAACTAATGCCTTTATCGCATCTTTGTCAGCTTCGACCGGCCATCCAGACCGTAGTGCATCTTCGACATCAAAATTGCCGGATCGAAATTTTGCAAACCAGTTCTGGCACTGGCGTACTGTTAACACGCCTTCTCCATACACATCCGTTTTTTCTCGCTTGGATAGCATTTTTACCTTTTCCGAAGTAAAAAAGTAAAATATGACGAAAATGCTGCTAATTGCTCTCCATATTTAAAAGGGCACCAACCTAAAACTACTGTGTAGAATTAATAGAACTTTTTCACACACAAGCCTTGCAATATCAAGTCTCAAGATATATAATGGTTATGCGGCTTAAGTGTGAAGTTGGTTTCGAAAAGACGTAATTAAGTCCTCTGACGGGAAAAAACGAAATGACTTTCCGAACAACCTCTTATATTTGTACACTCAAAAGCATAAATAACTTATGACTAATAGTCAACGGGTTATGGTATCGATTTCCATCGTTCCTAACATTATTCTAATCAATGTATTAACTTTCTTAAACATGTTGGACTTCGTCTATAAATCTGCGTAATAGGAATATCGTAATTCTTTCGGGTCATAAACCACTGTCCACTGATGAAAAAGCCCTGAATTTTAATCGTGTTCAGTTTCAGTCTGTAGATTTTCAAATATCTGAAGCTTAAAAAAGGTCGACTGGGCCAACGTCAGGGACATCTTGTCAGATGTTATATGGTTCTCTTCTATTTAAAAAAAAACAAGTCCCGAAAGAGAAACAATCAACCCCACGACTACAATTATAAATATGTTTTTATACAGACAAACAAGGTATTTACTGATACTGATAGCCGGAAAATTCCCCAGCACTATTACTTTCATTATTATTTAAATGATATTAAAATTTCCAGAGTAGGCCCCGACAGTGTAATGTTCTATTTAAACGGTATAATGCCATCGCACACGAAGTTTATCGTCACCATAGTACGTTTAGTTATCGAGGAGCAACCGACAGTGTCTAGCCGGTTACAAAAATATAAAATGAATTCTGAAAATAAACGCGATGGGACTGAAAAATCGGACAGGGGCGAGTGGGGTTACGCTGTGTGTTTTGGTACTATTATTATCTTTGTAAGTAATAATACACGATATTATTATGTTGGATATAATAACAAAGTGCATTGTTTCCGCTTCTCGATATCTGCCATCTTATAAAATGCATTCAATTATAGTGTTCTACTAATAAAAGCTGAGAAATTTTTTATTGCATTTGATAAGCTTTTTAAAAATAATTAAGTTATAAATGCCACGTTTCGAGTCATTAAGTGTGTGTGAATTTCCTTTTTCCTTGGGTATGGAACTGATGCGTTGTTAAGTGTTTTGAATACATGTCTTTGTTCAAACTTGCCCTATCAAGAGATTCATAATGATTTACCCGGAAAGTTCTCTATTTACATTCTATTATCTATTTATTGAGTTACCTATATAGAGTACTGTCATTAGTTCGTAAGTGTTTACAAATTTTGGGTGTGCTTTTAAAATCCTTGTCCAATTCTCACGTTAGTTTTCATCATGAAATCGTAAAGAACAATCTGATAAATAATTTTATAGCGTCTGCGCATTAATAATTTGCAATGATTTTATTTCCATATAACGTAACAAAGTTACGGCAAACAGAACAAGATTAATTCACAGATAATATGCATAGCAATAATTTTTGATATACCTTATTAATTTATAATATTAGATTTAACTATTTTCCGCCCCAATCGCGATAGTATCGAATTGCAGAACAGGTAAATATGTTTTCGTTCGTGGGAAATATGTTGTAATATTGATTTTTATTCATAGATCGCTGGGATGGGACACATTAATTCCTTCGGTCTCATTTACAAAGATTTTATATCAGAAACGAAATCTACAGCCAAGTCGCTGACAACTGCTCATGGCGTTTTTGCTATAATGATAGCTGTGGGAGGTACGGTGTTGTTAATTAATGTTTCTATTAATATAATAGGGACGTGGTGAAAACCTTTCTCCTCAGAAAAATGAGGACTGTGTTACATGTGAGGACATCGATAGGAAATATAGCTGGTTAAAACTAAGACAGGACTGACCGAAAACTGAGTATAGTAGGAAACATAGATAGAGCGACACAATAGAAAAATGAATCATTTATCTATATGTAGTCTCTTTGTACGCTAATCATCGAAAGTACTTGACGAACTATTTGAAGGTTTCTAATGCAGTAGATTAAGAGTAGCTCAAGACAAAAGTTTTAATTTACAAAAACACTAATTTGAAATAGCGGCTAATTTATATTCCTGATACGAGAATTGATAAACTGAAAATGTCTTTACAGACAAAGCCGCTACTTTAAGCATCATGTATAACATATGATATCACCACAGCTACAATATATTTCTAATTTGGATCACAATTTATCTGAACTTAATCTTTATCACCCACAATGATCATTATTACTGTTTTCAGGACTGCTTCTGAACATTCTCTCCAAACGATATTCATTGAGGTTTGGTGGATTTATAGGTGTCTCTTTATTTATAGTCGGGTCCTCGTCGACTATTTTCATATCAAACACAAACCAATTATCATTAACATTTGGAGTGTTACAAGGGACTGGATTTGGTATGATGGTACCAGTTTGTTATTCTACGTTGAACTATTATTTCGTCAGTAAAAGAACTGCAGTCATGAGTTCAATAAAGGCGTTGCAAGGGGTCTTTATAATGTGGTACCCACAGCTATTGAAGATAATGCTGGCTTTTTATGGGTTTAGAGGAACTCTTTTAATACTGACTGGTATATCACTTCACACAATACCAGGGATGCTGACAATGCAAACTAATGCGGCTAAAGATCAACAGAATAAAAGTGAAGAAATAGTTGCGAGTTTTAGAAGAAAAGCAAGTATTCATTTTGAGTTATAGTATAATGTTTGCCTATACATTCATTATGATTTACTATAACTACTATACTCATAGTAACATTTATGTTTACTGGTCAAAATCACATAATGATAAAAGAGTTAGCTATTTTAAAATGTTATATTCCCCGCAAGCATGAACGTTGAAGTTCTTAATTAAAAGATGATAACGACTATTACTTCGTGTTAAAGAAATGAGTGCATATTTTTTAAGATGATTTATTCTTTTCTAAGATGTTTTAGAAATAATATTTTCATAAGAAAGAATACGTATAATTCCTTCGAAACAATACATTTTACGCAGATTCGCTAATATATCCAGTTTAATTTGAAGATGTTGTAATTTACATTTTTGTTGTAGAGGACCAAGATGTTGAGAAATGCAATAGAGCTGAAGAGAATGTTGACTTGTTGACACAGGACGAATATCAAGTAAAGACAGTGAAAAGAAACTCTCAAATACTGTAGGTACTCTCTTAAAATGTGAATAGTAATTATTGAATGAAAATCTTCTAATTGAACTATATTTTCAGCAAAGAGATATTGGAAATATTGAACGTGAAAGTACTGAAGGACATTGTTTACTGCAACATTTGTTTAGGACAGAGCTTTGTGAATTTTTCCGATTTGACGTTTTTTATTTTCCAACCGATGCTGTTGTTCCAATATGGCTTCGATAGGGTTGGTACACACTCCACAAATATTTAATTTAATTTTAAATCTACTTAAATCACGTCAACTTATTGCTTGTATCATTTTCTTTTATATAGATGATATTGTGTTCTATTTTTAAAAAGTAAACCACTAAAGTTTTTAATTAGTTATTTTGATTCTTATGTAGTGAATGTATTAATAACGTTAATATCTACTTCCGCAGAGTGGAGTAGCGACTTGCATATCAATAGGTGCAGGTGCTGACGTTGCAGGAAGGTTCGGACTCGCTCTTATCAGTGGAATATATCCTGTCAACACCAGATTATTATTCTACATCGCTACTCTGCTTACTCTCATTGCTAGAATTGGTAAGTTTTGGTCATTATTTGAATGAGAGTTTATCTGTTTTCTTAACCTGTCTTTTACATTTAACAATTTTTCAGTACTTCTGCAAGTGACTACGTTCATCTGGATATCAACACTAACAGGAATACTTGGTGTTCTACGTGCTTTTTTACACGTCGCTAGTCCACTAGTGATTGCCAACCATGTCTCGCATGCGGACTTCCCAGGTGCATATGCCCTGTTCATGCTGACTGCTGGAACTATTAACTTGGTTCTATCACCGTTCATTGGTAACATCCTTTTATTATTTTATATCTGTAGCACATACTGTTATAGAACTTTAATCATAGTATTTTTGCTATACGGTAAACGGTTTGTTACGTTATATGTTACGGCTTCGAGCTTTCCTTTCCTTTATGCGTACGGTCCTTAACTAGCAATTTTTAAACTTCGATTGGGAGGGTCGGGTTTTAAAGTTATAAAATATATTTTTTTAACTATACAAAATGTTAATTTAAATATATTTTAAGTAGAAATCTTTCCTTTTTGCTTCTATATTTAATATCTAAATCTGAGTATGGAAGAAGAGAATGTAAGTATTTTTTAGTTTTCTGACATATATTATCTTGTTTACTACTAAAGTTTATCTGAAAACTAGTGTTGAGACACTAAAATTAGACTTGTTGATAAAATCCGTCAGATAAGTTACTTGAGTTTGAAGATGACTAATGTCGTAATATTTTTACATTTTCAAAACAAGCACGCATTTATCATAGAAGTGAGCGGATCAATTATTCAACTCGCCATCTTGTCTCAGCAAAGTCTCGAGTTTCCGCGACGTGATAAATTGAGGCCCTGGAGAGAAAAACTTTAGGTCCATACTGGCCAAGTCCGAGTCGGCCTCGTCTTCGATCAACCTACATTTCATATTACAACATGTAACACATGTAAAAAAACCTACACAGTCATTTTGAAGAGCTTCTTGAACCGTGCGGAACCATGAACCAACTACGAACAGCACGAAAACCCGAGACGTTCGTGCTATGCCCAGGGTACCCTCATCTTAAAAAGTTAATGTATTTTTTACTGTTGTTTTTGTTCTTATAACGGAAAAGAAAGACATCATTTGTGAAATGTTTAACTCTTGTTTTGGTACATTCTTGCGACGGACAAACGGATATCTAAACCTTAGTAGTGGTGTACAGTCCTTGAAAATACAAAAAACAAGGAACCAAATGTAGTTCGTGTAACCTGTATTTTTGAATAAATTCTTTCGATTCGTGCAGCAGACTGCACGAATCGATGAACCGGCATCGTTAGCGTTCCGTGGTGTTCCCCTACCAATTGAGCTACCGAGTCTCTAGAACTCATCGTCGAATTCTCTCCCGATTTTCCTTGCAACTTTTCGATAAAAATGGTGCAATCATGTGCAATAAAATGTGAAAAATATTAAAATTTTCAATTATTAATGTTATCATCGACCCTTATCAAAATTTCAAATATTTTTTTTCAAATAAAAATAGTTTATTCACGCAAGATAAAAAAGAACTGCGATAGTAACTACGTATTGACAAGAAAAAAACAGACACAATATATCTATAACGTAGACAGTTTTCTGACAACACTAATAAAGATAATATTTACTTGTTCTTTACGTCAGCACCGAGCTAGGTGTAATTCAATATTATTATAATTTCGATTATATTTTAATACATTAAATACTATTTACTTTTACAAGTCACTGACTGAATACAACATGAATACTAGTAGTCCTTCTAGAAAATAGCCGTACAATACACGCAAGAATTATGAATATGATTACATACTAAATATTTTTTTGGGTATCTTGAACCGTTTTTGCAGCGAACGCATTTTAAACAACAGAGATAAATAATTTTTACCCGTTTTTTTCCACAATTTACGTTGTTTATTCGCTCCTGTTTTATAGCCTATAGCCATTCTCGATAAATGCTACATAATTATTCGAACCAGTAGTTCCTGAGATTAGCAAGTTCAAACAAACAAACTCTTCAGCTTTACACGTATATATTAGACGTGTATAACTGTAATGTATTTTTTCAGTTTTATTTTGTTTCAGGTGCACTGAAAGATTATTACGAGAGTTATATACCAGCGTTTGTAGCCCTTGTCGTGTGTTGTGTGCCGTGTTTAATACTATGGCCTTTGGAATACTTATTTTTAAAGAAAAGGGTTCTAACTTGAGAGAAAGGACGAGAAATGTAGGAAGAGTTAATAATAGTAATGTAAACATTCTATATTCCGACGATAAAAAAGGTTAAATGGAACGGAAATTATAAAAGTGTCACTTACTATAATATTGTTAGTAAGGAAAATGAAGCAGTAATTTAAGGCGTTTATTTTTTTGATATTCAGTTTGTTTAGTTGTTCAAATGCAAGTGTATGTCATAAATTATTTATATTCCATGTTATTTTTTTATGTCAATATATATACTGAAAATAATATTAACGTCACTTAAGTAAATAAACTAAAGTACAGTTTGCGAAATTAATGTGATAAATACAATTTACGGATAAATAAATATACAGACCGGAAAACAGTATTGTGCGTTTAAAAATTAAATACTGTCTGTAGTTTACGCGAGTAATACACATTTAAATAAAACACTTTAACGGTTTAAAACGCGATATATTTGTGATGCAGCAGCCTAAACGTCGTGCCGTAGTAAAAAATAATAATTTTAATTTTTCGCGTTTTAAACCGTTAAAGTATTTTATTTAAACGTATTGAAATTTACAAAAAAACTTAAGTGGAATTATATACATATAAAGTATAGTAATAAAAATATAAAAAGTAAATTTATATTCACATTATCTATCTAGTGTTCTAATAGTTTTTTGTATAAATAATTAGTAACTTCTATTGACTAAATGTAATGCGTCTCACAGAATGGCCGCTGTGTTATAAAAAATATCGTGACTATATTTATCTTAGTTGGTTTACCGTTGTAAATAATATATACTGTAACTTTATTTTATAACTTCAAGTAGTTAGAAAACTGTTATTCGAAAATGTTAAAGGGGTAAGTAATACCAAGCTAATATTAGGTTATCGCAATATAATATTCAAAGAATCGACAGTCACTAAAGGGTTTTCCTTCCCAGCCTCAATTTACGTCAAAGGGCAGGTAAAGTAGCAATATCGACGAGGTGAGAGGAGCATTATTTTTGTATGAGCCATCATTTATTCCATACATAAATATTGGCCTTTTCGATTTAAAGCTACAAGCTTTCTATAACTCGGTGAAAAAAGGGGGGAATAGTAAGTTCGATGCCCTAAAAATTAAGAACATAATGAGTATTTAAATCACATTTAAGTTATTAGTTTAAGAGATTTAATAAATTACAAAATATAAGTTATATAAGGGTGTCTCTTGTTTTAGGGCCCATACGCACTAAGCGGTTTACCGCGATTCGGTCAATCGTCCGGTCAGCAATAGAACAAGGTTGCAATTAAAGCAACCGTACTGTGATAGACCAGTTAGTTTGAATGAAAACGTGGAGTAGTTCGTATCCAATATATGCCGTTCTGAATCGAAATTAATAGCAAACGGGACTGGGGAATTGCAATCAAACACCGCATAGTGCTTGTAGGAGCTATCGCGTTTCGCGCGACAGCAACGGTTATGCTATGGTCTTAAAATATTTTATATTAATATAATATATTAACTTTTGCAGTCGCTTTGTGGTTAGCCGTCCGGCTAGACGTAGTCAGAAATATGTATTAAAAATGACGTACAAAGTACACTGACATGCGACCGCCCCACAACCGTTGCGGTAGTCGGAGGGTAAACCGCTTGTTGCGTATGTGTCCTTAGAATCTTAGCCATAACTAGATACATTATAACTATAATTATTCAATCATATAGACTGATATTTTACACAATATAATGTGCCTATTAAATTCACCAATTTAACTGCCAACAGAATAAAATTATAATGTATTTTATGACCCTCGTATTTTTGTATTTATAGCCCACTTCTGCTCGTGTCCTTGTTTCGTTATTTTTCATGGAAGATTTTACAACGAAACAGGTAAAAGTTTAGAATTTTGTCCTCGTCTAAAATTTCCATGTGACCCAAAAAAATATACTCGGTTCTGTTTACATCCTTTCACTTTCGTAGTTTATAAACAACATTAGAGCTTAGAAATGCTTATTAATTTTATTTTATAGGCCCACTACCTCTCAGCACTTAATAATAGTATATTTTCTAACACTAAACTATGTTAAGTATATTTATTATGGTTTACGGATAACTATTATAAAATACCTATGGAACAAAACAAAAGTTTAATCAATAAGTCATTTAAATCATAAAATCTAGATGTCCAGATGACAAGCCATATGAATTTTAAATACTAGCAAGTATTTTTTATTTATAATTATATTCTATTAAATATTTGAAACGCCTTGAACTTGGAAGTTTTTTGTTTGCATAAATTCGTAATGTTTATAATATGCAACTATACAGTCGTATTAGGCATTGAATTCTTAAATTTAATCAAAGATCAATCGCAAAGATTAAACCAACTAATAGCAAAACCGTGTTCTTAAAGTCTATGACATTCCTTACAGTCTAGTTTTTATGCAACTTATAAATGACGTCTGTATGACGTCGTCGCAAAAATAATATTACAACGTAGAGTCTAAATAAAGAAAAATATAATATCAAGATAAAGAATAACAGACAATAAACAGTACAAATACCAACTTCGAGAGAACAGTAGCAATTCTTACTTTGACGTCAGAGACATCCTTTATCTTTAGTCTCCCCATGACCACGGCTGCTGCAAAGCATCCGAAACATCGGACAGAAGTTAAAAATAATTTTCTAATAAGCTTAACTTATATCGCGTTTTAAACCGTCGAAGTGTTTTATTTAAATGTGTACTACTCGCGTAAACTTCAGACAGTATTTAATATATACGTTATCTTCAAGATATTATATTGCCAACAATAGTTCCCACCGCTGGGAACGATAGCATTAATATTTTTTGAGGCTTAAATGTCAATAAACCTTATAAGTTTATTTCAAAGCATTTTTTGTATACGTCTTTCTTCTACCAAGGATTCTACGAGCGTCATGCGTTATGTCATGTACAGGATACAATAAATAATAACTTCCGTTGGATCTATCTTTATGTCCGTTTAGATATGACCTATTGTGTGTATAAATAAAGTCTACTTGTCCCCTCCATGTATTGAACCAGGATCTTTTTGACTACAGGGAACAGTGTCATATTTAATTTATTTTTATTTTGTTTCTAATTTCATTTTAGTTTCCTTATAAGCTACCATTTTGTATAAGATGGCATATTGTACAGCGCAAATATGATGGAAAATATTGTATGTATTGCGTTGGTGAAATAACATTTGGACAAAATTTCCACAAGAAAAGCTTAACTGATAGTTAAGCGGAAGTCATATAAAGTAAATACAAATGTATTATTGTTATCTTCAACAATAAACATTTTATTTGCCGTATCAATATTTACGTCTAGCTCATAGTATATCTTATTTAAAGATAGACAGTGCAATAGACAGACAGAATTTAATTGATTAACTAGAGCCGCCCCGACTTCGCTCGTTTGCAATTCTGATACGAAATACACTACGTTTAACTGTTAACGTTTTATATGAAAAACTTCCCTTTGAATATATAGCACTCTATACTCTAACATAGACAAAACTACTATCGGAATTAGTCAATTATTTTGAGAGATCGTCCAGTTTGATCAACCAAACATACAAAATACACAGTACTTTACCAATGAACGGTCTGCTGTTAAGTGGTAAGAGCCTATACTATAAGTGCAGTGCGGGATTCAAATCCCGGCGAATCACTAAATTTGTTCTGTTGCAGTTGCTGAAATATGTCCGAATTAATGTATGAAAAGTTGTTTTGTGGCAACTTTACGGCTTCTTCACCTGTAGACGGTCGTTCGTGACCCGGACGGAATTTCGATATTCCTACCATACATGAACCTGATATCCAGATGTCTATACGAAGTCCAACATGTTTCGGAAAAATTATAAATTGATTAGAAAAATTTTGGACCCGTTGATTATTAGCCATATTACTACCACTGCACCAACGACCCCGTCGAAATATAAATAACAGTGAAGGTTTTTTACTGAATAGACATTTGTGTTTTAATCCGTCTGAATACCTGTAATAAATGAAACAGACAAAGAGGTCACGTCTAGAAGCTGCGGTCGATACAGCTCAACTCGGCCCGGGGCGAACAATGCGAATTAGGTTATACTTTATTTTTCATAGATACGTACAGTATTATCTAATGACCTGACCATAGACAAACGTTTTTGAATGATAACATTAAAAAGTGTTTTAGATGACGTCAATAATGAAGTTCAGAAATCCTCCTGTAATATAGCAACCAATACCATATAGCCAGCGTCTCAATGTTGACAAGGGTAAAATTGCAATTCGACATTGAAATCACTATAGATCATTCAAACTTTTAACGCACGCTTTTTTTAAAACGCAAAATATATTATGTAATTTATTTAAAAATTTTCCTACGGCCCGACCAGCAGCCGTGGTCACGGAAGGACATAGTTAAAATAAATTGCTAATACATATCGCGTTTTAAACCGTTAAAAGTGTTTTATTAAAATGTGTTATCTTCGAGTAACAACAGACAATACACTGTGAGTTATCATTATCGGGTCCCAGACGTGGTGGATGGCAAACATGACGGTTATAGTGCTTCATAATAGTTAGACTTATAGATAACGTCATGAAGTCTGTACTTTTATCAGTAGTCGCGATGCGAGATGTAAAACACATCATTTTTAACATATTAGGTTTTAGTAAGTGTACCAAATGTTTTCTGGGGAATAAATGTTAAAATCGACAAAGTAGTGTTTGAGTTTATTCAATAAACACAAAAATATAAATGCTAAATACCGTCTATAGTTTACGTTAGTAGTACACATTTAAATAAAACACTTTAACGGTTTAAAACGCGATATATTAGTTAAACTTATTTTTTTTTTATTGTTTTAAACGAAATACTGTTTTACTTTAATTATAAATGTCTCAATATAATATTTATATTTTAGTATGCCCCTTTCAATGTATTTATTTAGTGTAAAAAAGTTACTTATAATTAATAATGAATTTTCCGCACTTTTATACAATGCAAAAAGTAGTACAAT